ATGTTTTGTCCACAGGGAAGCTATCCTGGGAGTCACAAGGTAAGTACAAAGTATGTTTTGTTCCATTCAGATAATAATATAGAATATATAGAAGGAATGTGAGTGCTATGAAGTATGAGCAGTGATATATTTTAGGGACTAGAGATTACATGAGGCATTTCCAACCAAATCTTTTTTTTTTTCTTTTAATGCTTACAACCAATAAACTATTCCTGTATAATTAACTGTTAACTTTTTTTTAAGTTTCTTATTTGAGTAATCACTACACTGACACGGGGCTCAAACTCATACCCCCGAGATCAACAAGAGTTGCATGCTCTTCTGATTGAGCCAGCCAGGCACCCCTAACTGTTAACTTTTGGATACGCCCATACAGTAATTCCTGACTTAGCACATCGGGCTATTGATGAAGAATTTGTTTCCAGTGTACGTTCCATTTGCCTGTTGGAATAAACTGAGTTTCTCATAGTCTCTGAAGCAAGGATCAGTCTCTGCGGCAGTTGGTGCTAGAGTGCATGACTGTGCAGAGCAGTAGGTACTTCTCAACTTCATTAACTCAGTGCTTGCCAGAATGTGGATACCAGGACTTGAACTGTGTTCTTGAGAAGTTGTTTTTACCATTTGCCAGGAACGATATTAAATGCTGGAGACATAAAAAGGAGCAGAAAGAGGATTCCTGCTCTCCTGGAGGTAGAATCTAGAGTAGAGAAGCTTAATTATACGGATAGTTATAATTGTGATACGTACTACAAAGAAAAAGTGATTAGTCATGATTGATATTTTCCATTGTTCAAATATTTATTAAATGCCTGTTAAGGCTCAGATTAATTTGCTAAGTATGAGGGCTATAATGGTGAGCAAAATACCAAATACTCCCTCATACAGGTTTTTGAGGAGGATAGATTAATACCCAGTTAATTAATCCAACAGTCGTAAAAAATGTGCTGAGTGCTTTGAAGGAAAAGTATGGTTCTATAAGACCCCCCTCTTTTTTTCCAAATTGAGTTCTGTAATGCATTTAGGTGAAATGGAAAATATCTGTATGTCATATAGTAGAGGTAAGAATTGTTACTCAGTTTACATATGTCTATGCTAGGTCACAAAGTCAAATGTATTTCATACTATGGGTCACAATAAAAAAATCTTAAAAGCCACTGTACTCGGTAGATCCACCCAAGTTTAGGGGTTGGATCGGGAAAGGCTTTTTTGAGGAAATGATGTTTCAGCTGAGCTGTGAAAAATGAACAGCTATAAACTAGTACAGAAGAGACAATAAGAAGGTAGCAAAAATTTGGAATAGCATACGCAAAGGGCCTGTGTTGGTCCAAGAGACCAAGGCAATTGAAGACTAGCATGGCTAGAGTAAGACAGGAGGGGAGGTAGTAGGGGCCAGACACTGCAAGGCTTTGGAAGCCTTTATCAAGAGTTTGGTTTTTATTCTGAGAGCAGCTGGGAACCATTGGAGGCTTTTAAGCAGGAAACTGGCTTAGTTTGCTGTTTTGAAAGGATCACTTTTGTCCCAGTATATGAAACAGAATTATAGTATTAGGATGTAAGAGGATACGTGGACACCAGTTGTCCAAGTGAGAGATAATGGGGGCTTGGACTCCCATGTTAGCAGTGGAGGTAGCATGAAATGCCTGGATTCCAGAGATTTAAGAGAGAAAATGTGGTAGGGATTTGAGATGGGCAGTGGTGAAAGAAGAAAGTGTCGGGCATGAGTCCTCTGTATACCTTAGACATCCCTTGAGACAAGGAATCCTGGAGGAGGAGGAACAGTTTGGGGGAGGGGAAAATCAGGAATTCACTTTGGATATGTAGCGTCTGAGGCACTCTTGAGGACAATCTTAGAAGAGATGCCTTGTAGGCAGTTGTGTTTAGGAGTTTGATCTCAGAGAAGAACTGGAGAATTTAATACATGAGTCATCGGCACATAGATTACTGACGCTATGGACAAGGATGAAGTCATTTAGAGAGTACAGTGGAGATCTTTAAAAAATAGTACTAATGTCAGTGCCTGGGCTCCATGTAGACCAGTTACCACCACCCCCACTTGCCCTGCCTCTCACCCCTAGGCTCTGATTCAGCCAAATGAGCAGAGACCCATGGAGAGGTCCTGGATTATGCAGCCTGCTGAAGCATGCACAGACTGGCTTTGCCAATATCCCTACTCCCCTACCCTCAGCCCACACCTTCAGATCCTTCGGGGCTTTCTCCACCGTCTACTGAATGGAGTCAGTACTCAGGGCCCTCCCCAGCTCTACCCCAATCTCAGTCTTATTCCAGGCTTGCTTCCCAGCACAAACTATCTACTTGAGTCACAGCTGGTCTCCGCCTCACTCTGCCCTGCCTCTGCTCCTTATCTCAAGCAGGAGTTATGCTCTCCACTCTACCTTTTTCCTGCTCAAAGGCCATTCCCCTACCCTGAAGGTCCCATCCTTGCTGAAGCTTCCCTAATCCCCATAAGGCCTAGAATACTTTCTTTCCTTTGAAGAATATCATCACTTCATGATTTCTACCTCTCATTTTCTGTTTAGCAGAGATGACTGTCATTTTAGAGTATGTTCTAACTAGATTATGTCTTACACTGTAGCCCTTGTTATTCTTAAGAGAGGTGTTTCCAGAATCCTCAAACTCTTAAATGACTCCAGGAACAAGTGTAGAGCTGAGTAGAGATTATCTATTAGGATGCAGATGCTGGGTCAGAGGTGAGGGAGGAAGAGGGTGGCCCTGTACCTGCTCAGTGGACAGGCAATTCACACGTGGGTCTCAATAGAACTGTGGTCCTCCCCCATAGCTCAGAATTCTAAAGATGGCTGAGAATGTGAATGATCAATCTGAGAATGCCAAAACTTGCTAACTTTCCTATGACCCTACAACTCCCTGTGCTTCAGAGGTCCCCTGTTGGAACAGGCTGATGGGGCAGACAACTTACTGATCACACTGGGACTTGGCTGATCCTGTAGCGTAGAGAGCCACTCCCAGTGTGCTGGGAAACTCTCTCCTGGCACAGGATGGAGAAGCCTTTTGAGTCTTACATACAGTAAAACACAAACAAGAGTGGGCAGACAGCAGAGATGAGGGAATTAAAGGATTTTCCCATCTGGCCCCATTTGACCTCTCTGCACTTAGATTACTTACTCTGCCTCTTCACATGATGTTCGCCTGTAGGCATGGGGATGACCCCAGTGACCCCTCGCAACAGGGCTTTGCAACATCCTGGTAGGGATGACATTGTATTAAGCCAGAGATACTCCCTGGTGCAGCTCCCTGATAAGCCCTGGTTGTTTGCAAAATGCCAGACGGTGGTCAGAATCTTTCTTTAATCTGGTTTAGAATACATTAACAAATAAAATCCCTGGTTGTTGTGAATATTATTAAACTAGCAGATACATACTTGCTCTTAGCCAAAAGGCCCAGAAGCTATGTGTGAATTAATTTTTAATTCTTAGATTTCAGCTTTAGTAGTACTGTTGACTAATGCTAATTGACTTTCTCACCATCAATGCAGGAGAGTTCCAGATGTCCACATCCTCATCAACCCTTGATATTGTCAGGCTTTTTTTTTTTTTTAAATTTTAACAATTTGTGCATGTGTGTGTGTGTGTGTGTGTGTGTGTGTGTTTGTATCTCATTGTTTTGTTTTGCATTTTCCTGGTGGCTAATGGGGTTAAACAACTTTGAGGTTTATTGGATATCCTCTTTCATGAAGTGCCTGTTAACATCTCTTGACTATTTTTGTACTAGGTCTTTTTCTTATTGCTTTGTAGTTCTTTGTATATATCTGGTATGAATCCTTGGTCAGATACATGTGCTGCAAGTATCTTCTCCCCACTCTGATTTATGTCTTTTGTTGTTTGTTTTTGTTTTGTTTCATTGTTGTTTTACTCGCTTAATGATATCTTCTGATGAATGGAAGTTCTTTAATGTAACCCAATTTGTCGAGTCCTAGGTGTTTGATTGATAATATGAAATGGTATCTTATTTAAAATTTTATTCTCTAATGACATTTAAAAAATTTTTAATTTTAATTTTTTTCTAACGATTTTATTTATTTATTTGACAGAGAGAAACACAGCGAGAGAGGGAACACAAGCAGGGGGGGTGGGGGAGGGAGAAGCCGGCTTCCCGCGGAGCAGGGAGCCCGTCCCAGGACCCCGGGACCCCAGCCGAAGGCAGACGCTTAACAACTGAGCCACCAGGCGCCCCTCTAATGACATTTTTTAAAAAAGATTTTATTTATTTATTTGACACAGAGACACAGGCAAAGAGGGAACACAACCTGGGGGAGTGGGAGAGGGAGAAGCAGGCTCCCCGCTGAGCAGGGAGCCTGACACGGGGCTTGATCTCAGGACCCCAAATTCATGACCTGACCTAAGCCGAAGGCAGACAAGGCAGACGCTTAACTGAGCCACCCAGGCGCCCCTCTAATGACCTTTTTAAAAGACAACATTTACATTGTTTGTTGTTTACATATAGAGATATAGTTGATTCTTATATATCGACCTTGTATCCAATGACCTTGCTAAATCAACTTACTAATTCTAAGAGTTTTATTCATAGATTCCTTTGGATTTTCTACATATGTCATCTACAAATAATGGTAGTTTTATTTTTTCTTTCCAATCCTTATATTTTTATTTTTTTCCTTTTCTTTTTGCATAGGCTAGTACCTCCAGTACAATGTTGAACAGAAGAGATGATGGGGACATCCTTGTGTCAGTTCCAACCTTGGGGATGTCTTTCGGTATTTCACCATTAAGTGGGATGTTTGCTTTAGATATTTTAGTGATATTCTTGATTAAGGAAACTCCTTTCTCTTTCTAAGTTGCTAATTGTTTTTTTTCTTAAAATCATGAATGGGTATTGATTTTATCAAGTGCTTTTTCTGCATCTACAAAAATAATCATATAATTTTTCACTTTTATTCTGTTGACATTTATCTTTATTCCCACTGATTGATTTTGGAATATTAAGCCGTCTCTCATTCCTGAAATAAACTCAACCCTCAAGCCAGCAGTGTTGTATTTTTCTATCCATAATTATTTTTATTGAGATTTTTGCAGGTATGTTCATGAGAGATTGGCCTTTAATTTTGTCAGATTTGGTATCAAGGTGGTGCTGAAATCAAATCAGGAAATACTTCTTTTCTGGAATAGTTTGTGTAATTCGACATTTTTTCCCTTACATGTTTGGCTGGAAACTCTTTTGATAACATACTTTAGAACCAGTTTTGTAGGCCACACTTTGGGAAACAGTGGTCTAGAACAAAACTTAAACATGAAATAGTAAATGCTCTCGTTTTTATTTATTTCCTCCCTATGCAGGACCAGCCATTTTACCTTTTCTTTCCTGGCTGTGTGGGCTCAGCTAAGTCAGCACACAGGAAAGTGGTGAGGCCATATGAGACCAAGCCTGGTCCTCAGGTCTCCTCTCTCTCCTTGCCACCACGCAGCCTGCCACAGCCCTGCTCAGCCATCTCCACACTCCTCTGACAGAATGAATGCCCTCGATGGCGTCCCCTTCAAGGTGCCCAGTGGCTTTGTGATAGGCACAGAGCCCCTTCCTGGGCCAGAGCTCAGTGTCCCAGCCTGCAGGGAGCTTCTGCTGGGTTCTATGGTAAGTGTATCTCTCTGTCCATCTATCTCTTGTCTCTGGGTCTGTAGATCTGATGCTGAGACTCATAGGCCTTGTTCCTTGATTTTAAAGGGCAACAAGGCCAGGGTACCTGCGTGGCTCAGTCAGTTAAAGTATCCGACTCTTGATCTCAGCTCAGGGCTGTGAGTTCAAGCCCCTCGTTGGGCCCCACGCTGGGTATGGAGCCTACATGCATACATACATACATACGTACCTACATACGTACATGGCGATGGGAGCAAGTCCATCTGTGGTATATTCTAGAAAGTTTTGGAAATAACCCAAGGGGAAAAAGGTGTTTCATGAAGAAGGCTGGTGGCCTCGTGATGGGGATTATTTGATGGATCTTATTTTAAAAATGCTTAGGATAACAGGAAGCTGCCTATAGGAAGTGACTGAGAGTCATTGCAAGGATACTCCAATTCTTCTTTTCCCTGCCAGCCTACTGCCGTGTCTAAAATTCTACCATTTAGGGGCGCCTGGGTGGCTCAGTTGTTAAGCGTCTGCCTTTGGCTCAGGTCATGATCTCAGGGTCCTGGGATCGAGCCCCGCATCGGGCTCCCTGCTCAGCGGAAAGCCTGCTTCTCCCTCCCCCACTCCCCCGCTTGTGTTCCCTCTCTCGCTGTGTCCCTCTCTCTCAAATAAATAAATAAAATTTAAAAAAAATAAAAAAACAAAATTCTACCATTTAGAATCACTCCTGTGAACTAAGACACTATCTCCAGAATCCTCTGTTAAAATGCAGACAGTTAGATGAGACACATTAGAAGGTATTACTGTTCCACAGACCCAAAGCACATCTGCCCTAGAGGCGCCCTTGAAACACCTCATGCCCCATAGCTCACACACTGGGATATGCACCCAATGTATGCAGTGGTATCGCACACCCTCAAGATAAACACGAGAGTCAAGTTTACTTGGAGGTTTAGGGGGGAACCTATTACATTTGTATTATAACACAGATCATGAGATAGGATGCAGAATTCACATGAATTTTTACAAATGAAGGAACAAGATTGCCAAAAACTGTGGAACTGGTGTCGGGCCTCTCAGAGTCTTATGTGCTCCTCCACCGTCTGCAGGGTACTTTGTAAAAAGTTCTGAGGATCTAGGTCGGCCCTCACTCGTTTTTTTTTTAATTTTTTTAAAGATTATTTATTTATTTGATAGTGACAGAGATAGCGAGAGAGAGCACAAGCAGAGGGAGAGGGAGAAGCAGGCTCCCCATGGAGCAGGGAGCCCGACGTGGGGCTCGATCCCAGGACCCTGGGATCAGGACCTGAGCTGAAGGCAGACACTTAACCAAACGAGCCACCCAGGCGTCCCATGCCCTCACTCATTTTGCACACGAGGAACCTGAAGTTCAGAGAAGGGAAATGATTTGTCCAACGTTAGTGGCAATGGCAAGACTAAAACCCAGGTCTTAACTCCAAATCGTTGCATATTAGCTCAGAGCAGGATGGGAGCATGAAACACTGGACAGGTGAGGTTCCTCGGCAGAAAACCGGGTTGCAGGAAGTCAGGTGCAGAAAGTACAATCCACGAAGGAGGAAGGGGCTTGAGTGGCTCGGGGGCCCAGGAGCAGGAGACTCAGTGCCATTTTGCTTTATCTGCAGACCCTTAGGACCAAGGTCTCCAGAAGGGAAATCAGCTCTGTAAAACCCAGAGCACAGTGTCCAGGGGCCCATAGTCACTTTTCCCAGGCAGCCTGCGCTGTGGGCCTGTGTCGTTGGGCAGAGGAATTCGCTTGGCTAAGCTTCAGTGGAGGTAGATTATCACAGCTTTTCCCTCCCCGCTGAGCTCAGGCCAAGCCAGGAAGAGGCTATCCTGAAAGTTAGTTCTCTTAGAAGCAGAATTGGGCACTTTCTGCCAAGTCCATGTCTGTCTGCTGACCCTGGCTCTGCCCCCTACTCTCAGCGAGGGTATCTGTATTCCCTGGAGCCTGTTTCCCTTCCTGGGCCTCCATTTCTTTCACTGCTGGGCCAATCTAACAAACAAAGAAGCATAAGACTCCCAAGTATGATTTACAGCCTCTCCTGGTAAGTCCTCTTGAGTTCATTGGGCTGTATTCCCAGTGTTTGGAACCTGGAATACATTTTCCCATAACAACGATGTTATAGATAGTGGTTAGATTACCAGGTGAACCTAGGACAGTTTAGAACAGTGGTCTAAAGGGAGAAAGTAATAATCACAGCTACCGTTATTGAGCACCTGCTGTGCACTAGGCCCGTGCTTAGGTGCTCTGTGTACATTCACTGTTCTCTCTCATATTTATGATAACCCTTTTAGCAGGCATGTGTTCCTACCCCCACGGCACAGGGAACCAAAGCTCTCACCCAACTGATGTACTTGTGAGTGACACATGCAGGATTCCCACACATGTCTGTCAGACCCCAAAGCCCATGTCCACCCCACCCATCCTGCTGCCTTCACCCTTCCTTCCATACTTAAAGCCTTGGCAAGTCTGCGTTTGATTGTTTCATAGTTTCCCTTTAATTAGAGTGAATTGCCCTAACAAAAAAATATTTTTAGAGAAAAAATACATTCGCGTAGTTTAAAAATGAAAATAAAAAGAAAGAAAAGGCTTACAAAAGGCTATAGAGCAGGGGTTGACAAACATTTTCTGTAAAAGACCAGGTAGTAAAAACTGGCAATTACTCAACTCTGTTGCTGTAGGGAAAAAGCCATAGTTCTGGAAAGGAGAGGGTGGATAGGGCCGTGTTCCAGTAACACTTCATCTACAAAAGCAAGGGGGCTGGGCAGTGTGGCCCACAGGCAGCTTGAAGGCCTTGGGAGAGCAAATAGCCTCCCACTGACACCTTCCCATTTATCCAGCTCCCCAGCTCCAACCCTCACAGGGGATATCTGTTTCTCATTTTCTATGTATTCTTCCAGGGATGCTTATGTGTGTAGAAACATGCAAGTACAGCTATTTCCTCCCTTTTTACCCCAAAGATAGTGTTTTATATATACTGTTATTCCTGACTTTTCTACCTCATATATTTTAAGATCTTTCTATATCGGTACATAAAAAGCTTCTTCAGTTTCATTTTTCACTGTGTAGCTTTGCATTACATGGATATATTGTACTTTCTTGAATGGACACTTGGGTTCTTCCCAGGCTTCTGCCATGACAAACAATGCTGCAGGGAATGACGATATGCACATGTCCTTTTGAATTTAAGTATTTTTCCAAATTGCCCTCCATAGGGGTCATACTGATTTCCATCCCAGCCAGCACTCTACAAGAGGCCTGTCCCCCGCACACTCTCCCAACAGAGTGTCCTCAGACGTTGGATCTTTGCTGAGGGATAGGCGGATGGTATCTCAGGGTAGTTTTGATTTGCCTTTCTCTTATCATGAGTGAAGTTGAGCAACTCTTCATATGTTTAGAAGCCATCTGTGTGGCTCTCTTCTGTGGACTGTCCATATCTTTTGCTCGTGTTCCCACTGAACTGTTGGTCTTTTTCCAATCTATTTCTAGCACTTGCTGTATTAGTAAATTTAGCCCTTCGTCTCTGCTGCGAGTGCTGTTTTCTCCCCAGGTTGTCATCTGTCTTTGACCTTGCTTCTTGTGGTATATTTGCCGTGCAGATTTTGCACGTGTGTCTGTACTTTTATGGCTTCTGGAAAGGCTTTCCCCACTTGAGGTTATAAAGCATGTCTCTTCTGGTTTTTTCCTAGTACTTTTATGGTTTCATATCATACATTTGAATGTTTGATCCTTTTGGAATTCATCCTTGTGTATGAGAATGGATCCAACTTTATTTTCTTCCAGCTAGCTAACACCATTTATTAACTAGTCTCTCTTCTTCCCATTGCTTGAGATGCCACCTTTATTATTTACTAAAGCCCCATAGATATTAAAGTCTATTTCTGGACTTCCTATTCTCTACCTGCATCTGTGCCAACACCATAGTTTTAATTATTGTCATTTTATAATATATTTTAATGGCTAGTAGGGCCAGTCCCCCCTATTTATCTTTTTGTGTCCAGAGTTTTTCTGACTGTTCTGATTTGTTTGTTTTTCATACCGACTTTAGAATCATCTTGCTTAGTTCCATAAATCGTACATGTTGGTATTTGTGTTGGGTCTCAGTACATTTTCATCCCCTGAGTCCCGCTGGCTGTCTTGAAACCCCCCTAGTCTCTTTCTCTCCACATCTGCCTCATCACCCCTCACATGGTCTTTTTCCCTCTTCTGTCCTTCACAACCTGCCTGTTTTGCTCCAATCTCTTCCTCTAACCGTTTATTCTGCACATACTTACAAGCATCCCCTCTGTGCCAGGCCTGCCTGTGCCCTGAGGATGCAGAGAGGAATAAGATGCAGCCACTGACCTCAGTCAGGGAGCTATGCTGGAACAGCCACGTTAGGCTCCTCTCCCCACTAGGGTCATGTCAGGAGAGGAGGGGACAATGCCTGTGATCTAAGTGTTTGAATATCTGTCTTCCTGCTTCTCCTTCCCCCCACAAATACCACTTCCCCCACCTTCGTTCTTCCTTCATTGGCCATCACAGAGCGTTGAAAATGCTGTTTAGACAATTTTACATTTTTTAACAGAGTTTTGTATTTCTGGATCTTATTTTTAAAGGTAGGCAACAAAAAATAAATAAATAAATAAAGGTAGGCAACAGATGAATATTTTTTTTACTCATTTCTAAACTCTCAAGTTAGATTATTTATGTGAGCTCCGATTGTTTTTTCAGGTGGCCTGACAATGTAGTCGAGAAAGTACTACTGTTGGGTGGCCCGAGGAATCCCAGCTCAAGCCACTCAACACCAATCTGACCTCCAGCAAATTAAAGATTCTGAGCCTCATTTTCATAGTCTGGAAATAGAAATAACACTAGAACGTACTAAGTAGAGTTTAACAGAGATTAGTGATTTTTACATTTCCTGGGCTTCAGAGTAACCTCTGATGGCGTCAAAGGGGAAGGGGGCAGGTATTATTCCATAGAGAGGTTTGTGTGCCTGAGTGGGCCTCTATGGCTGAGTGCTCACTGGCAAATGGTGCTGGGCTCAAGTGAAAGTTTCTTTGCTAAGAACAAGGTTTCCTGGAGACATTTTTAAAGCTGCTATCGGTTCAATTACATACTGAAAGGCAAAGGGATTTAGATATTGGATTTCACTACATTTCATTCTATTAACCTATTCCTCATTATGTCCTTCAGGCCGAGTTAACCATTCAATTTTATGGCTATCCATCGACCCCAGTGCTAGCTAAAACGGGGGCTGGGGGTGGGTTAATGGATGCCTGGAGTTTAGAATCGGAAGCTGCCCAGGCCTGTCAAGTTTTTGGACAAACAGTTTCCCTGGAGGCCAGGGGGTAGGGGTGCGCCCCTTGGGCCTGGTTTGCGCCCGGAGAGCCTCACGCCGCCTTCTCCTGGCAGCACGACTTCAGCTTGGAGAGGAGAGCGCTCTTCTGGGCGGAGGCTGTGGTCCGGGGATCCTGCCCCTTCCAATGCGACGCCGCGGGAATGGCATCAGCCCCTCCCGCCTGGCTCTTGCTGGTCAGCCCTGAATGCGAGCTACTGCCTGCACCCGCCGCAGACACGGGCCCTGAGGCCAGACCCCAGCAGCGGCTTGACCAGGAGGAGGAGGAAGAGAACCAGGGCGAGGACCACGACGACGAAGAAGCCACCTCTGCCAACGAGGAAGAGCCAGGTCACTGCAGCCCCCCATCCAGCTCCCCTGCGAGCCCCGGCCCCGGCCATCCCCGCTGCTCGCTGGACTTGCTGCGCGGCGTGAGGTCGGAGCTGGCCGGGGCGCGGCGGCGGCTCTCCGAGGGCCCGCTCTCCGCCTGCTCCCGCGCCCTCCTGCACCGCGTCCGCCACCGGGCGCTGAGCCTCTGCCCCAGCCCCGCGCCGCGTCTGGGCTCCATGCCGCCCGCGGACCCCGCGCCCCCGCTCCCCAGCGCCGCCGCGCCGCCCCCGCGGCCATGCACTGCCGGTGCCATGCCCCCGCTGCGAAGCCACAAGCCCACGGTCGCGGTAAGGAACCTGCTCGCTCCGCCAAGGCCGCAGCCCAGCTGCAAGGCCCCCAGTAGTCTGGGTTCCCCGCCTGGTCCGCAGCCCTCGTTCCCTCTTCTCTGCTCTCCTCCTCCCTGCATTTTCCTCTTCTCATCTGGCCCTCTACCATGCTGTCCTTCCTGTGGCCCTTGGCCTAGACTAGTCCCTGCTCAGAGGCCCCCATTCCCTGTTCTCCGCTGTGTCTGTTTTGCTTCTATTAGGGTACGTGTCACAATTGTAATTATCTGGTATCTGCTGTCTCTTCCCGTGCAATATTAATTCTTTTAGGGCAGGGATTGGAGGGCCTTCAGTTTTGTTTCCAGGGCACCCAGCAGCAGATTGGCCCCTAGGGGGTGCTCAATGAATGTCCCTTGAATGAATGAATGTGACTCAAATCAAGGGCTTCCCACAGATCGAGGCTTCCGGTAGGATGGGTGAGCTGGAGGCTCAATCAAAGGATACTCCCTGAGCAGTTATTTCCTGCTGGGCACTGAGTTGGAAGAGACAAGGTCAAAACCACAGGACAAGGAGAGTTGGCCAAGGGGCTGTGGGACAAGGCAGCACTGTGTAGTGGGAGGGATCAGCTGTTGAGGGAGAGGGGACAGTTTTTGCAGACTGGGAAGGCTTCAGGGCAGAGGATGTGCACGTGGAAGAACCGGGAGCAGAAGTGAACTTAAAGTGAAACCAGTGAAGCTTAAGCCTCAGACCCCTCACTTGGCCTCTTCCAAGGCCTTATATCTAATTTTATATTCATAATTGTGTGCCTTTTTAAAGACATCCAAATTATGTAAGTACCAAACTCCATAAAAGCTGGATCTGGAGCAGATGGAGTGGGTCAGGATTGAGAGCCAAAGGTGACAGTTGGGCACAGCTTTCTGCCCCCTAGCTGCCCTACAGTCAGGCCAGGAGATGCAACAGAATAAGGCCCAGGTGAAATTTAAATCCAAAAACAAACTAGAGGTCTGGCTCTTTCCACTCATGGTTGTATGACCTTTGGCAAGTCACTGAACTGCTCTGAACTATCCCTGGGCCACTTTACCTCACACAGTTGCTTAGAGCAAACACAGAGAAGAGGCTGTAACCTGGATAGGCACACCACATCAAGGGCCAGATGTTGATGCCAGGATGGCTCTTTCCTGGTCCAGATTAAATTTAACTCTAGCAACAACCCTGTGGGGGCAATGGGGCCCCTGTTCTACAGAGGAGAAAATTGAGGCGGAGAAGAGCTAAGAATCATTTTTAAGGTCACAAGAGTAGACTCAGATCCTAAGATTTGGATATTTTCCAGTTTGGGGGTCAAGGGCAGAACCTAGGGTAAGGTCATGGCAGGAAAACCCCTGAAAAGATAGGGATGGGTGGACAATTCATGTCACACATATACATCTGCCCCAGGAGCCAGGGCAGCAGCTGGGCTTTCCCTGGGGAAGAGGGGCCAGGGCGGTCTGGTCAGGGTTGCCAGATGGGTGCTTCTTTATGGGGAATGGGTTAGGGGTGATGCTGGTCAAACTGACTGAAATACCTTTGAGCCACCCTCCTTACTCTAGGGCCAGTGTGGTCTCCTCAGCACACAGCTGTGCCCAGTCCCTGCCCAGCCCCCGCCCCCACCCCAGCCCCACCCCAGCCCCAGCCCCGCCCCAGCCCCTGCCCAGCCCCAGCCCAGCCCCAGCCCAGCCCCAGCCAACCTGAAGAAGGAGGAAGATCCACCCCTACTCCTCCCCTCACTAAGGTGTGGGGTAAAAAACACTGAATGTGATTCTGAGTAGGGCTCAGGTCCCAAATGTGTGTTGCTTCCCCAGTCATTAACTTCTCTGAACCTCAGTTTCAATGTCTGTGAAATGGGATAATAGGATGGACCTATCATATTTCTCTTGTGGAAAAATGTCCTGCCCAGCAGGTCACACCTCCAGTGGTAACTGACACATCCAGCCTGTCTGTATTTCAGTCCCTCAGCCCGTACACCTGTCTGCCACCTCTTGGGGGGATGCCCCAGCATCTCAGTGCCTGCAGATCACACCCTGCTTCTGCTGACCTGCTGTCTGCCCTGAGCCAGGAGGAGCAAGACCTCATCGGGCCAGTGGTCGCCCTGGGGTATCCCCTGCATAGGGCCATCGGGGCTCTGCAGAAGACGGGGCGGCAGAGCCTGAGCCAGGTAGGTGAAGGAGGGACCCCGAGCTGGGGGGGCTGTGGGTCTAGAACCAGATGAGTAGCCAAGCAGCCAAGTAGTTTTTATCTTTAACTTGAAGAAGTTTTGTTTCCTTCTCTTTAGAAGCAGAACCTTAGCCTGACATTAATTATTGAGGGTTATGAGCAAGTTTCTAGACCCTAATGCTATTTTCTCCATACGGGTTTCTCAGGAATGCCCATGCCCATTTGGAGAGTTTAAATATTTTACTCCTGTTCCAGTCTCTGCCCCAAGCACAAGGGACTGGAGCTTTGGGCAGCCGATAATCTCTCCAGAGATACCCAAAAGAACTTTTTGCAATGAGAGAGATGTTTTATACCTGGGTTGTCCAATACAGTAGACACTGGCCTTATGTGGCTACTTGAAATATGGCTACTGTGACTAAGAAACTGAATTTTTGGTTTTACTTAATTGTAATTAATTTAAATTAAAATAGCCACATGTGGCTGCTGGCTACCGTAGGGATGGCAGAGCACTAACTACTTCCCTCAATGAGCAGTTTATCCCTGTTCATATCCATCTCTTTCTCTTTTGATCTACCCATCCGTCCATTCCATCTAGTCCACAGTATTTACAAGGCACTTCCTAGGTGTTCAGATGCAGCGCGCAGATATGGAGGAAACCTCCTCTTGGTGGAAGGGGCTGGGAGGAATGTATGGCCATTCTTAACCAAACACAAGGACGTTCCAGTGATCAGCAAAGGCTTCAGGGAGGTGCCACATCTTGAGCTGGACTTTAAGGATGAATCTGAATTTGAAGGAAGGAGAAGGGATGATATTCCAAGCAGGAGGAACAGTGTGAGCAAAGGAGTGGAAGCAGCAGGGAAGGGTTCAGGAGGCCCTGAACCGACCGGTCTCACTGGAGTACAGGGTGCATGATGCAGGCTGGTGGGAGATAGGACAGGGAAGGGGGATTGAGGGTAGCTTGAGGGCTGGGCTGAGAAGTTTACAAATGACCCACTAACAAAAGGAAGGCATGGAAGGATTATGAGTAGGGGCAGGAGGCAACATTGAATGCCCTTCCCCCACCTGAAGGTCACATCGGGCTTCCTATTGTTTTCTGAACGTGCGGACTCTTTTGGTTGGAAAGCTGAGCTGCAGGTATCAAAAGGCCCCAGGGCAGTTGGCACTTCTCCCTTTCTTCTGTCTCTGCCCCATCACCATCAGAGGGCTTGGATACTCTCTCCGTAATCACTGATGACTGTCATATGTTGGGTCCCTGAGGTCCAGAGCTGCCTGCTCCTGGATAAGGGAGGGAAAGAAGGAGAGTGACTCTCATCCTGGAGCAGAAGCAGGATGTGCTGCTGCCAGGTTGAGGAGGTGGGCAAATGCACCTGGCCGCCTTTCCCACCCACTCCTGCTTCTGCTCTCCTCTGGCTTCATCAGTCCATGCCTTGTCCTGGAGGAAAACCTCCAATATGGTTGCTGACATTCATCGAACACCTTCTTTGTGCCAGGCCCTCAATCTGAGAATATTCGATTAGGTCTTCTCTGTTCTGCAAGGTTGCTACTACTGTCCCTCCGCACTTTGCAGATGAGAAAACCGAGTCCAGGGAGGTTCATATAACCAAATCAATGGAAGAGCCAGGGTAGAGGCCAGGCTGGTTTGACTCTGAATCTTTGTTGCATGGTACTTTTCTCTCATTTTCTGTGTGAGAACCTTCCAGGGAAGCACCCCAGGCCGATCTGAGATTTAAGAGTAGGTCTAAGGTTGTCCCCACCTTTGGCCGCTGCTGAAAGCCAGAACCTGGGCCAAGAAGCTGGCCAGGAGGACTCTGAGGGACCACGGCCACAGTGGGGGCTCTGACATGCCCCCCAGTCCCTTTAGCTTCTGTGACAAGGCTGAGCTCTCAGGCCATCACTGTGGGGGTCTGAAGATTTAGTCAGAGCCAGCACGGGTCACTGGCCTACCCGTGGGTGGGCTGGAGGAAACCCACTGCATCAGGAACATTGTGTTTCCAGATATGCACTGACCACCTGCCTGGCCAGCTGGATCTCTGGGTGGCCTTCTTCCATGGTGGTCAGTCAGGAGCCAAGCCCTGAGGTGTGGGCCCGAAGAGCCATTGGATGACTCCATCTGTCTTCCCCCACCAAGTGATTATTTCCCTCTATTCTGTGAAGTTCCACCATTAAGTGAGCAACTCCTTTGGGTTCAGATTCCTTCCCCCCCCACCCCCACCTTAAAGGATATACACTATAGTAAACCTTTCTGGCCAGAAATTATTGACAGATGGCCCAGGAAGGTGAGCATCAGGTGACAGAGACAGAACAGTTAGAAGAGCCAGGGAGAAAGGAGGAGATACAAAAGATAAGCTTTGTCCATCATTCCTTCCTTCCTTCCACAAGGATTGATGTGCCCACTGGCTGCCTTCAGGATATCATGGGTGACATGTGTGAGCATCCACAGGCCAGGCCCAGACTTGGTATGGGACTCCAGGCACCTCAGGGCCCCTCTTTGAACCTCACTTTCCCTTTTCACAGAATGGAGGGGGGAATATGTGTTTATAATCAGGGACTGCTGAGGGCCCCATCCTGGGGTGTGAAGATGACATCTTTCCCCACCCTGTGGCCTGAGGCGGGCCTGGTGGCTTCTACAGTCCCGTAGGCCCAAGAGCTGACCAAGCAGCAGAGTCTCCACAACTGCAGGTCCCAGGACCTACTCTGGAGGATCCCAGTCGGTGGATCTGGAGTGTGTCCAAGGGCCTATCGTGTTAAGGATCTGAAGGTGGTTCTGAAATGTAGCCTGCCATGGGGCTATTGGTATGGATTGAGGTCAGCTGTCCTTTGAGTCAGTGGTTCTCAGCCGTGGTTGCACAGACTTACCTGGAGAGCTATGAAAATCCCAGTGCCCAGACCGCCTCCCAGACCAATTATATCAGAGCCTCTGGAGGCAAGCATCAGTGGTTTATGGGTAGTCGTGTTAAAGCTCCCACGTAACTGCAGTCGGTACCAAGGCCAAGAACCTTTGCTGTGTTTGAACCAAGAGGCCAAAGGAGCAGCCACCATCCATTCTTGACTTGCTCTTGTTTTCACCTTTGGAAATCCTGTCTACTTTCAAGGCAGCTCAGAGCCCCTCCTCCAGCACTGGGCCCCGGATGGACAAAACTGAGAGGTCAGATGACCTAGGCCCTCGTCCTGGGTCCCTGGGCAAGCTGCCTATACTGCTTGGACCTGTTTCTTCCACTGCACAAGGCGGGCTTGGCTGAGTGGTTTACAAAATATGCTCAGAGCAAGATCTAGGCATCCTGAGGCAGGAGCACTGGACCCCTGGCTTCCCTGCTCCTGCCCCCGGTTCTCCCAGAGCAGCTCAACCTTCCCGTTATTGTTATTGTTGCTTGGACAGCTCAGAAGGTAAAGCAGTTTGAAAAGCATTCATCTGTATGATCCATGCTCTGAAGGTCTGCAGGAACCTCCCTGTTGCTTCTCCACCTATACCCATAATTCCTATGGTCTGGAGCCTTCATTTGGCATTGACTCTCTATTAAGTCTTGCCTTGATTTGCCTGGCACTCAGGATTTCCCATACCTGGTTCATCTCCCCCTAGGTTGTGAGCTCCTTGACGGTAGTTCTTAATTCATCTTAGGAACACGGCATACATTTATTGAGCTCCTTCTGGGGGTGCTGGGGACACAGTGGTGACCAAGACTGAAACGGCCCTTCCCTCGCTGAGAGAGGAGAGCAACTACAGAGTCGTACGTGCTGGGACAGGGTAGCACAGTGCTTTTGGAGCCACAGGCAAGCCACCCCCAATGGAGACGGGGGCAGAGGCTCCCCAGGGAAGAGGGGTGAGGCTGGCCTTGGCCGAAGGAGTCAGATGTGCCGAGGCCTGGGGCTTCCGAGGTGGGAGCTGAGGCCACTGACAGGGGCAGGGGGGCAGGCCTTGGGGCCCCGGTAAGGAGCAGTACCTCCTCCTGCAGGCAAAAGCAGCTCCTGGTGACGAAGCACAGAGTGACCTGAACAGGTTCCCAGCCCTGTGGTACCTTCCTCTGTCCTCCTCCCCTTTCCAGCCCCGGGGCTCACGTGGGCCTGGATGGCAGACATGCACGTGTCTGGGGACAGGGTGGGGCTGCCCAGGTGTGGGTGCTGAGGAGGCTGCTTCACACCGGTGGGTGCCCATGAGGGAGGGTGGACAGACGGGGACGGGTGGTGGGGGAGGCGCCTGTGCTTCCAGCCAGTCCCACCCCCCACTTAGGGTCTGGGAACACTTAGCTCACCCTGACAGCCCTTTTTCTGGATCACAGCCCCCAGTTGGGGACATTTGGTAAGAACGTGCTGTCCACCCACCCCCAGGTCCCCAGGGGAGGCCGCTGCCCCTCTTCTGTTAGCTCACAGGGTCTCTGGGGCCGTTTCTTTGTGTGGTGGGTTGACTCGTCAGCCTGGTCTGAGCCCAGGCCTCGCTGAGACCCCCAGGGTGCCTCCTTTAGCCCATCTGCTGCCCCTGCCAATGCCCTTACCACCCCCCGCTGCGGGCCCGTTGTGGCCCAGTTTCTCAGCTACCTTCGTGCCTGTGACCGACTGCTGCAGCAGGGCTACGAGGAGAGGCTGGTGGAGGAGGCCATGGAGATGTTCCAGTTCTCCGAGAGCCAGGTCAGCAGGGCCGCCTGCCCGGGGGGGGGGAGGGGAGGGGAGCAGTGGGGGTGCACACACGAGCCTAGTGTGCGGGGGGCACACTCGTGCCGGGACCAGAGTTTGGGGGCCGTCAGGATAGAGCCTGCTTGCTGAGCCCTGCAGAGGACGAGACAGTGCAGGGAGGTGAAGCGTGGGGAAGGGGAGGGGATGAGGTGGGGAGGCAAACAGGAGGCAAGGCTTTTGCTTTATTTAGCCGAATTAACACACAAATATTATTGGATGCCCACTCTGTCAGACACCCAGAGAGGAGCCATGCACAGCACAGAGATGCACAAACTCTACTCAGGGAGTTTGCTGCCTACCTGGAAACCCAGAAGGCAGACAGCTGTGGGCCCAGTGGTACATTCTGAGTGCCCAGCGTACATGATCTGTCCACAGCGTGCTGTTGGCCCAGGCTCTGCTGAGCACTTCTCCACAGAGGCTGAGGCAAGGACAGGGGGCTGGGAGGGATGCCAAGGAGAAAGGAGGGAGGAGAAGCAGGGACTTTTCAGGCACTGGGGCCAGAGGAGGAAGGAGGGCAGAGGCTGCACTGCGTGAAGCTTGGGCAGGGTTTGGGGCTCGGGCAGAGACCCCAGGCTGTGCATCCTCTGGGCCCCAGTATGTTGCCTCCTGCTTTCTACCCCAGTTCCTGAGCACAGGGAGTCAGGAATGAGCTGGAGTGAGGGAGTAAAGCCAGGATGGAGCCAGTGGCCAGGCCTTCCCTGGCTCAGGAAGGGAGGTCCAAGCCCATGTCACCCCAAGGTACAGGAAGAAAAACAGGTGCTGCCCAGGATCAGACTTACCTGGCTTGGGGAGTCCATAGCTTTGTGGGAGTAGATACAGTAGGTACCAGGGAGAGGGCTCCACAGGGAGGTGGCTGGCCTGGCAGAGTCCCCTTCCTCAGGCAGGGGAGTTCCTGCGCCTCTGGGCACAGTTCAGCGACATGGGCTTCCAGCAGGACCGGATCAAGGAAGTGCTGCTGGTCCACGGCAACCGCAGTGAGCAAGCACTGGAGGAGCTGGTAGCCTGCACCCAGTGAGCACTGGTGCATTCCACAATGCCTGTGCATCCCAGTCCTGTGCCAGACCTGGCAAGCCACTGTAACTGGATTATTAAGACTACGTAAGAGGGGCACCCGGCTGGCTCAGTCGGAGGAGCATGTGGCTCTTGATCTCAGCGTTGTGAATTTGAACCCCCCGTTGGGTGTTGAGATTACTTAAAAATAAATAAATAAATAAACTTAAAAAAATTTTTTTACACGAGAGTGACACATGCTCATTGTAAAAATGCAAACGGTTCCGAAGGTGGGGGTAATACTGTAGGGGAGGCCAAACTTTACCCATTTTAGGTTTTCAGCTGGGGCTCTACAAGGAAAAGACCGAATAAGAAGAGAAAAACAGGGGCTCCTGGGTGGCTTAGTTGTTAAGCGTATGCCTTCGGCTCAGGTCATGATCTCCGGGTCCTGGGATGGAGCCCCACGTTGGGCTCCCTGCTCCGTGGGAAGCCTGCTTCTCCCTCTCCCAACCCCCCTGCTTGTGTTCCCTCTCTCACTGTGTCTTTCTGGCAAATAAATAAAAATCTTTAAAAAAAGAGAGAGAGAGAAACAGTTTATTAATGCATGTAGCACACATCATGTGGGAGAAACCTCAATGAAAAGTAACTCAAAGCAGCAGTTAGAACTCTGGCTTGTATAGCAGCTTCAACAAAGAACAATAAATTTGTAGAGAAATGACAGGACAAAGGAAACCGGTTTTGGGCTTCCAGGGATGGCAAGTTGTTGGGGAAAGGGGGCGGTGTAAATAACAGGAAGCAAACCAACTGAGTAGGTTTGTTGGCTGGTTCCTCTGGAGCATGTCTGGACTGATAAGAATCTGTCTCCAGAAAAGGAGAATTTATACTTTGCCTTTAGGCAAAATTGGGGGAAGGGTAGAGAGAGCTTTTTTTCCTGCATTTGCTACTTCTTAATTACCTTCAACTCAAAATAATTTTTATGTCACGCAGGCATATTTTGGAGTGACATTCTGGTCTCCAGTACTAAAACAATCAGCTGGAAAAGTTGAAGGTCATTGCCTCTGGGGAGGGGCAGATGAGGGAGCATGGACAAGGAACTATGTTTTTTCATCCAAGCCTTGTAAAACTACCTGTATTTGACTCTTTAAACTATATGCACTATTAACTTTGATTTTAAGAATATTAAAACAAATAAATGGTGGGCAGTTTTTTTCAGTCCCGTGGGCTCCTGGTCTTAGTGTGGGAAGAACATCTAACTGTGGTTCAGAAGACTTAATTTCTTATTTTGTTTCTGCTGCTGACTGGCTCAAGGCCTCTTTGGGCCTCAGTTTCACCAGGAAAAGTGGAGAGACTGGACCTGGCTGCTATCCCTAAGAATCCCCTGAAGAGTTTGTTAAAGAGGCCCATGTCCTGGGTGATCTGATTTAGAAAGTCCAGCTTGGCAGCCCCAGGGATCTATTTTGTTTTTATAAGCAGCTCTCTGGGGATTTTTAAAAACCTGTTGTTGTTGTTTTTTAATTGCTTTTGTTGTTGTTGATCTCCTTCACCCATTTCTCCTAACCACTAATCTGTTCTCTGTTCTCTTTTATCTATCAGCTTGGGTTTTTGTGTTTTTGTTTTTGCTTTTCAGATACCACATATAAGAGAAATCATATGGTATGTCTTTCTCTGTCGGACTTATTTCACTTAGCATAACACCCTTGAGGTCCATCCATGTTGTCTCAAATGGCAAGATTTCATTCCTTTTATGGCTGGGTAATATTCCATTGTGTATATATACCACAGTTTCTTTATCGATTCATCCATCTGTGGACATTTAGGTTGTTTCCGTGTCTTGGCTGTTGTAAATAATGCTGCAGTGAACATGGGGGTGCATCTATCGTTTTGAGTTAGTGTTTTTGTTTTCTTTGAATAAACACCCAGAAGTGGAATTGCTAGGTCATATGGTAGGTCTATTTTCAATTTTTTGAGGCCCCTCCCTACTGTTTTCCACAGTGGCTGCACCAGTTTACATTCCCACCAACACTGGACAAGGTTTCCTTTTCTCCACATCCTCGCCAACACTTGTTATCTCTTGTCTTTTTGATGATAGTCAGTCTAACAGGTGTGAGGTGATAGCTCCTTGTGGTTTTGATTTGCATTTCCCTGATAATTAATGCTCTTGAGCATATTTTCATATACATGTTGGCTATCTATATGTCTTCTTTGAAAAAATGTCTATTTGGGGCACCTGGGTGGCTCAGTCAGTTAAGCCTTTGACTTCAGCTCAGGTCATGATCTTGGGGTCCTGGGATGGAGCCCTGTGTAGGGGCTCCCAGCCTGGTGGGGAGTCTGTGTGTCCCTCTCCTCCTGCCCCTCCCCCCACTTGTGTAAGCTCACACCTCTCTCTCTCTCAAATAAATAAAATCTTTAAAAAAAGAAAGAAAAGAAAAAGTGTCTATTCAAATCTGCCCATTTTTATTTTTTTTGCTGTTGGGTTACATGAGTTCTTTACATTTTTTGGATATTAGCCCCTTATCCCATATATGATTCACAAATATTTCTCCCATTCAGTAGTTGCCTTTTCATTTTGTTGATGGTTTCTTTTGCTATGCAGAACCTTTTTATTTTCCACTTGTTTTTTGTTTTTGTTTTTTTTGCTTTTGTTGCTTTTGCTTTTGGTGTCAGATTCAAAAAATCATCACCAAAACCTATGTCAAGGAGCCCACCACCTACGTTGTCTTCTAGGATGTTTAGGGTTTCAGGTCTTCCATTCTAGTCTTTATTCTAGTCTTCCATTCTAGTCTTTAATCAATTTTCAGTTAATGTTTTTGTATGCTGTAAGATGGCAGTCGAGTTTCATTCTTCTGCATGTGGTGTCCCATTTTCCTAATACCATTTATTGAAGAGACTGTCCTTTCCCCATTGTATATTCTTGGCTCCTTTGTTGTAAATTAATTGACCATATATGCATGGGTTTATGTCTGGGCTCTCTGTTCTGTTCCATTGACCTGTGTGTCTGTTTTTATGCCAGTGTGTGCATGAGCAGGGAGTGGGAAGGAGGGATAGAAGGAGAAGCCAGACTCCCCATGGAGCAGGGAGCCCGATGCGGGACTCGATCCCAGGACCCTGGGATCATGACCTGAGCCGAAGGCAGATGCTTAACCTACTGAGCCACCCAAGTGCCCCATCCTCTGGGGATTCTTATTCAATATATTGGGCCCATGGCCAGTGTGTGTGGCCCTCAGGGCCAGCAGATCTAGGCCTCTTGCTCTGACAACCTGTCAGTCTTTCCTGGGACTGGAAACCAGTTTGGGACCAGAATTGTCTCCAGTCACCGGAGGCTTGCCCTCTGGAGGACCCCAGAGATTGAGGGGACCAGTTGAGGGAGCTGCCCATGACTCAGGCAAGCAGAGGCCAGAACCAAGACTCCAGTGCCCTTGCCCTTCCCAGCTGGCCCTGTGCAAAGACCTAGAGAAATTGCCACAGAATCAAGACCTATCAACCTTCCCCATCCAGTGAGCAGGACTGGACCTGGAGCTGAGGCTTGTAGAAAACCAAAATCTTCCATGTTTTTCATGGCTTCAAACCAGACACCTTGTTTGAATGTGCAGTGAGGACTTCTGCAGGCCCATCCAGGCCTAAACAGCAAGTCTGGGACCAGAACCTGGGACTCTCAGGTCTGTCCAGCCCCTGGGTGCTTTCCACTAAGCCTCGATGCCTGCCAACTTGAAATCACAAAAAAATATGCTTTGGCCCTAAAATTGCTTTGAATAACTTGCAGGCAATGCAAAACTATTTGAGAACATTGGCAAGATGGCATAAAGTTGGTCAAAAATAAAACTGCACTTGAGAAAGAATAAAATTCAAGTTCAATTTCTTAAAAAGCAGTGTTTAATCCAAAGCACTGTGTGCTTTGATTAAGGTAGTCTGGCCTTGGTCTGCCACTTGATTATGTCCCCTTGATTAGAGGCGACCAGTTGGTAGGCCCCTCACTCACCTCGCAGGCTCTTCCCCATGCGTCTCCTCCCATTCTTCTCCCACCTGCGCCTAATTTCCCATTCCTAGGAAACTATTGCTTGATTTAAAATGGCGCATCAATGGCACGTTCTAAATTTAAAATATTTTTAGGATAGAACAGTGTGGTAGTTAAAGGCCTGGGCTCTGAAGTTAGATCTGAGCTAAAACTATAGCCTTATCATTAACTGGTTGTGTGACCTGTGTGTGTGTGTGTGTGTGTGTGTGTGTGTGTGTGTGTGACCTTTTGAAAGTCACATATCCTCCCCGTGCCTCTGTTCCTTATCTATAACATACAGATACTGAAACTTCCCAAATGGGATGACTGGATGAGCTAGGACACAGGATGTTTGTGGCGTGGTATCTAGTAACTATTTGCTTATTTATATAGATTTATACCCTGTCTTGGTTCTATAAACACTGCTACCTTTCCTCTGATCATCCTCTTATCCCCCTCATCGTTGTTAAGGTTAACAAATCTCTAGCATTTATAATCGAACTCAGAAAACCTGGGAGAATTTCCCCCTTCCTCCCCACCCTCCCGCCCCCGTGACTCAGCCTCTCCGGTCAGCAGGGTTTAAGGAAGCCAGAGCAGAGGATTCTGGGAGTATCCCAAGAGAAGGACAATCCTTACAGCTAATACTAAGGGTCAGGTGACTGTATTGGTGGCCCCCCTGAAAGAGCAGCAATGACACACTTAGCTACCTGAAGGCAGGGTCTAAACAAGATGGCCCTTGGAGAGGAGGCCAGGAGGATGGTGGAGCCAGGGCACCAGGAGACAGACCAAGGCCTGGCCCAAGGATGCAGAAGGAAGCAGGTTCTGCCCTGGTTCTTGCTGTCATTTCTTTCCCCTATACTCTGTCTCCTCTACTGTGTCCCCACCATGTTCCTTCAGAGGCTCAGTGCCAATAGACTGAAGAAGGCCTCCTGACTCTGATAGGAGCGGGGTGTCGGGGTAGTGTCTCATAAACTATTTCAGGCTGAAATCTCAAGTTCTTTGCTCCCATTCCTGGGGGATGTGCACAATGCCCTCTAGCTGGCTGACCCTCTGCCTCTGTCTTATAAGGACCTTTTGCGATTGCATCAGACCCACCTGGCTAATCCAGGATAATCTCCCATCTAAAAATCCTTAATACATGTGCAAAGTCCTTTTTACCATGTAAGGTAACATAATTCCAAGGATTAGGACATGGATGTCTTCAGGGGACCAT